AAACTATCTTGAAAATAAAAAGAACTATTACAAAAAAAAATAACCTCGAACGTACGACGTATCGACAACCTTTTTTTGAGTTAAATAGAGACATTCAAAAMATGTTCTACTGGAACACAGGCTATTATAAAAATGGAGATGGCTCAAACGTTTAGTCGAACTGAACTTCGAGAAATTGATGCTCAAAATTCATCTTCTCCGTCAAATTCAAGTAATTCATTATGGCAAATGACCCAAACCTATAATAATAATTCATCCGGAGAAACAAGTGTAATTTATTCTACAAACAGGYCATCACAGGAATTCAATTCAACTTCAGATTCGACAAAAGAATGGTATGAACACTTCATAACCTAACTTGGTTCATCATTAAATGAAATATAATAATTATAACACACAATTAAATATATAATTTAAAATGTAAAATGCAGTAAAAAAAATATTTAATAAATAAATACTGTTTTAAAATATGGTTTTTTCATAGCCACAAACTACCCACAATTCAAGGGAAACACTTAAATGGTGATCTACTAACCGCACCACGTGTAGGCTGTGGGACCCAGACAGTTTAAATAATAATGCCCGGTTGCACCAAACTTGTCGTTATCCATCGGTAATTAGTTTTACACTGTTAAATTCTTATCTATTGATAAAGTAACATTTGTTAAATTTTAACATAAGTTTAAATTAAAGAGTGTCGCACAATCAATGTTTTATATTCAGGTGATTACCAATATACTGGTTATCAAGWATATGGTATAATCTGATATCACCAGAATCTTATCATTGGGTCTTATTAATGATAAACTGAAAAATTAAAATTAAAAATTTATAYTTTTAAAGTTACTATTAGCTTTTTTAAGTTATTTTCTATGTTGTAATTTGCGTATGATTTTTTAACTGAGATAATATCAGCTTCTTAAACGTTATGAATATTGYAATATGGCCTTAATACTACTGTATAACTAAACCATGTTCAAGAAAAATAGAGGGAAGGATTTCACAAAAGACGAAAGAAAACTGTTATTAGATTTTGTAACGTAAGCAGCCGTTGATCACAGATCGCAGGAGTTTCTCGGTGTAGTAAAGTTATCGGACATGAGGKTTGACTAAGTACAATGTATATTATTTTGAACTATTCGTATGCAGGTATTAACTATATTGCATACAAAACAAATTATATTGTACACACTTATTAGGGGTGTTCGCGACCAGTAGGGGAATAAATGTTTATATATAAATATTACATAGTAATATAATGACAATAATATAAGTGGCTGACAGCCGAAATAACAGTAAAAATATGATAATATGGTATACAATAAATGATGTATAATAGATGGCTAGCAGCCGACTCACGAAACCATCGGATATTGAATATGTTGAACCATGCTCCGGGATGATGCCGTTGGTATAATGGTATGATATGAATGGGTTTAGTTTTCGACGAGAAAATAATAATTTTGCCACAAAATAAATGACGGTAYGGTACKTCACCGCTGGTCGGACACGACTGACTGGTAGCGAGTGGTCGGTTGGAAGGTTCGACGGTAACCSTGACTTTTATTTTTAGTGCAAGACTGGACATGGTATAACGTTATGCAATAACGTTGAAATTTGTGTCCAACAGATTTAGTTATGCCACATAAAAACGTTGTTGAAAATGTTAAGGTAAAGTTATACAACTAGCCAAAAAGTTATATGTTATATGATTATTATTTTCAGTATATTTATTATAGAGTTTTAAATTAAAGACTGATAATTTATGGACATTTAAGAAGGATGAAGTATGGGAAAGAATTTTGGCACAGTACAACAGTAACACGAGGCAAGTTTCTGGGGTACGAAATGTATCTCAGCTGAAGACATGWTATTCAACAACGAAAAGGGACACAAAAAAAGATAACGCTAATAAAATTGTATAAATATGATAATAGGTAATTTTAATATTTAATATAAATGTTATTAAGACACAAGTTTTATTATTTAGGTTGAAATTTACAAGGAACACTGTGGTAAAAATATATTATCTTATATAGTTGAAACTGAAGTTAATATGTTTATAGATTTAATAYTACCACACAGAGATATTATTGAACAAGTAAATTTTTCATGTAACTTATAAATAAATTTTAGTTTTTAAGTTCAGTAAGAACATTTTTAGGCTTATTGTAACTTATCTAAGAAAGATAAAATTATTTTATTTTTTTGAGTAGAATGAGTGTCCACAAAAAATGTATGAAATTTTGGAATCGACTCAAGAGGTTTACAATTGTCAAGTTACTACTGGATATAAATCTAAATCAGACCTACCATATATGTATAAAAAAATATATTAAAAAAGCAAAAACAATCAAACGTAAAAACAAGGTATCTTCTTCAAAACCCATAAAATACTTATTTTATTTTAAAAAATACAAATAATTATAAAACTAGGAAGACATATATAAAACTGGTGTTGATCAGTCATCTCTTCCATTGACATCAATTAAAGAAAAAGCCATGTGTTTACTTGGTGATAAAATGGATCCATTAGATAATTGTTATGATTGTGATACAGAATATAGAGGTAATT